CCTGAGACTCTGGCTCACGACTCGGCTGAGGACCTGGTGGCCGCCTGGGATAGTGCGGCTGCCGGGGCCTTGGACCGTGTCGTGCCTTTGCGGCCTCTGACCCGGCACCGAACTCACCTAGCTCCTTGGTTCTCCGAGGAGCTTAGGGAGATGAAGCGCCGGAAAAGACGCCTGGAGAGTAGTTGGAGGACCAGCCGCTCCGAATCCGACCGAACACTGGTGAGGTCTCATATTAAGACCTACCTAGTGGCAATAAAAGTGGCAAAATCTAGCTATTTTGCCGCTCTTATCACGTCATCAGATAATCGCCCGGCCGCCCTGTTTAGGGTGACCCGCTCCCTCCTCCATCTGGAAGCGCGGGATGACCCCTTGCAGGGCCGAGCTGAGGACTTTGTGCAGTATCTGTATGACAAAATCGCTCAGATTCGGGAAGGGCTGGCCTCTGACTGGGTATGTCCGGACGGGATGACTGAGGCAGGTCTTGAGAGTGTTATCTGGGGGGAGTTCGATCCTGTGGCTCCCGAGGACATGGACAGGGTCCTGGGACGGCTGAACGCGACCACATGTTTATTGGACCCGTGTCCCTCCTGGTTGGTACTGGCTTCCCGGGAGGTGACACGAGGCTGGCTCCAGAAGATTGTTAATGCTTCTTTGAGTGAGGGGGTCCTGCCGGCCGCTTTGAAAGAAGCGGTTGTGAGGCCCCTCCTCAAGAAGCCCTCTCTGGATCCGGCTGTTTTGGCTAACTATCGTCCAGTCTCCAACCTTCGCTTCGTTGCGAAGGTTGTTGAGAGTGTGATAGCGCAACAGCTTCCCCGGTACCTGGATGAAACTGTCTATCTGGACCTGCTCCAGTCCGGCTTCCGGCCTGGGCACAGCACGGAAACGGCATTGGTCGCGTTGGTGGATGATCTCTGGAGGGCTCGGGATAGGGGTTGCTCCTCTATCCTGGTCCTGTTAGACCTCTCAGCGGCTTTTGATACCATCGACCATGGTATCATGTTGCACCGGTTAGCGGGGTTGGGGGTGGGGGGCACAGTTCTGCGGTGGTTCTCCTCCTACCTCTCTGACCGGTCGCAATCTGTGTTGACGGGGGGGCAGCGGTCGACCCCGAGGCACCTTGCTTGTGGGGTGCCACAAGGGTCGGTCCTCTCACTCCTTCTGTTCAACATTTATGTAAAGCCGCTGGGTGAGATTATCCGTGGCTTCGGGGTGGAGTTCCATCAGTACGCTGATGACACCCAGCTGTACATCTCCACCCCAGGCCACCCCAACGATGCCCTTGAAGTGATGTCCCAGTGCCTGGAGGCCGTGCGGGCCTGGATGGGGAGAAACAGGCTCCGACTCAACCCCTCCGAGACCGAGTGGCTGTGGCTTCCAGCGTCCCGATATAGCCAGCTGACGCCATCGCTGGCTATTGGGGGCGAATCACTCGCCCCCACGGAGAGGGCTCGCAACTTGGGCATCCTCCTGGACGCACGGCTGTCTCTAGAAGACCATTTGACAGCCGTGGCCAGGGGGGCTTTTTATCAAGTTTGCCTGATATGCCAGTTGCGCCCCTTTCTAGATCGGGACTCTCTACGCACAGTCACTCAGGCACTAGTCACTTCCCGCCTGGACTACTGCAACGCTCTCTACATGGGGCTCCCCCTGGGGTGCACCCGGAGGCTCCAGCTGGTCCAGAACGCGGCCGCGCGGGGGATTATGGGGGCGACGAGGCGCTCCCATGTGACACCTCTCCTGCGCGAGCTGCACTGGCTCCCGGTGGTCTTCCGGGTGCGCTTCAAGGTGTTGGTGACCACCTTTAAAGCGCTCCATGGCTTAGGGCCGGGGTACTTACGAGACCGCCTACTGCCACCAATAGCCTCCCACCGGCCAGTACGCTCGCACAGAGTGGGCCTCCTCAGGGTGCCATCCGCCAGACAATGTCGGCTGGCGACCCCCAGGGGGAGAGCCTTCTCTGTGACGGCGCCCACCCTCTGGAATAACCTTCCCCCAGAGTTACGTATAATAACAGACCTCCGGATTTTTCGTCGGGCCCTGAAAACTTATTTATTTCAACTAGCTGGGCTGGCTTGAGCTAAATTTTAAATTGATTTTAAATTGGGTTGTTTTAATTTACGGCCAGAATATTTAATTATTTTAATACTGTTTTTTAAATTTTGTATGCTTTGTTTTTACTTAGGCTGTGCACCGCCCTGAGTCCTATTTGGAGAAGGGCGGTATAGAAATTTAAACAAATAAATAAATAAATAAAGTATCCACCTTGCTGCTCTGGCCCTTCTCTCCTGTCATTCCCCCCTCCTGATTTCCTATCACGTACCTTTATTGCCCTTTCATCTTTCCCTTTCATCCTCCCCCCCCTTCTTCTTCTTTTTAGCCAGGATGCCTGTGAGGCTCCCTAAGTCGAGCCAGGCAGATCTGACACAGATGAACCCATGAGATCAGTTCACTGCTGGGCTTTCCACCTTGGAGAGAGACATTCTTTTCCCTGATGCAGTGGTGGGTTCCTCCCAGTTTGGGCCGGTTCGGCTGAGCCGGTAGCGGTGACGATATGACGTCACCGAACTGGTTCTCTTTGTTCGGGAGCTGCCCACCCCTGCGTTATTCTTACCTTTTATTTGGCCCCGCCCCCAATCTATTTGCTGCCTCCCGAGTCCCAGCTGATCGGCTAGAAAGAAAAAAACTGTTTAAACTCTTGCCGTGGGGCTTCAAAGGGCCGCCCTACAGCTGATCAGTGTTAAAAGGCAGTGTGGTAGTAGACCAGTGCGCTCGAAAAACAAATGGGTAGACCGGTGCCTCCAAAAACAAATGGGTAGACCGGTACAGCTCTGCAAACAGTTAAAAGCCTGGTAGACCAGTACCTCTGCTAAATCCTAGAGAATTGTCACATGACCATCAAACCATGCCCACAAAATAATCCACACCCACAGAACTGGTAGTAAAAGTTTTTAGAACCCACCCCTGCCCTGATGGTGTTTGCAATTCACTCAATCTCCGGCTTGCAACTATTCACATGGAGGGGCCACAGGTGGCCTCTGCTGGTCAAAATGTGGTGTGATTCACCCTTGGGTGGATCTCATCAAAAAGCTTCTTTCACAGGGCAAGGGCAGCTATGGGAAAGGTGAGCTAAGTAGGTCTCATTGGAAGAGAAGCTCTAAGCAGGGAGGGAGGCACCAACCCTATCTGGCTTGGCGGTGGGACAGGCAATCGTTCCCATGGAGATTATCAAACAACATGGTTGGAGCTTGGTTCCCACAGCTTCCATCCTACCTCTTTTCCTACTCACTCTCTCACAAATATTTATTTATTTATTTATTTATTTGATTTGATTTGTATACCGCCCTACTCCCGAAGGACTCAGGGTGGTGAACAGCCAACAATAAAATACATAAATACACAAAATTTAAAAACCCGATAAAATCAAATTAAACTTTTTGGCCCAGACAAATTAAAATACCCCAATAATTTAAAAACAGATTAAAATTTACATATTTTAAAAAGGGAAGAGATCAGGCCAAGCCCGCTTGATGGAATAAAAAGGTCTTCACAGCACGGCGGAAAGAGCGCAGATCCGGGATCCTCCGTATCTCCGGGGGGAGCTCATTCCAGATGGTAGGTGCCCCCACAGAGAAGGCTCTCCCCCTAGGGGCCGCCAGTCGACACTGTTTGGCTGACGGCACCCGGAGGAGTCCCTCTCTATGAGAGCGTACTGGCCGGTGGGAGGCTATTGGTGGTAGTAGGCGGTCCCGTAAATAACCAGGCCCTAAGCCATGGAGCGCTTTAAAGGTGGTAACCAGAACCTTGAAGCGCACCCGGAAGACCACCGGGAGCCAGTGCAGCTCGCGCAGGAGAGGTGTTACATGGGAGCGCCATGTCGCTCCCATTACCACCCGCGCGGCCGCACTCTGCGCCAGTTGGGGCCTCCGGGTGCTCCTCAAGGGGAGCCCCATGTAGAGAGCAATACAATATACATTTTTAGCAGCAGTCAGTAGAAATTATTGCTCAAATCATTTCTTAAAAGGTAAGTTTATTGTCAGTTGCTGAAGATCCAATTCATTTGAATGATTTTCACACAGTTCTCTTTAGCAAGATTTATTGAGATGAAAGGGAAGGAAGTTATGAGAATTACAGTCATTCAACTATTTTGAATTTTGAAACATACCCATATGATTTTCTTTGACTTCTGCATACTATCTAAGTGGAAATAATTAATGTTTTATTTCAAATAAAATGAAATCTTACAATTCAACCATGGTGTTGTAGCTCATGTTTTTACATTTACTCTGCCTGTAAGATGCTCCTTTGTGTTCAGGTCTGGCCTCAGAAGGATAATGTAGCACTTGGGGATGAAGATGCAGCCCAGCAGACCAGCACTGGAGGCCAGGATGGAGAAGACCTGCACAGCCACCATGTATTTCCCTTTGGTGCTCAGGTAGGTGGGCACAAAAGTCACCCAGACACTGCAGAAGACCAGCATGCTGAAGGTGATCAGCTTGGCTTCGTTGAAGGCCCCAGGCAGATTCCTGGCCAGGAAAGCCACCGTGAAGCAGATGGCAGCCAGGAAGCCCATGTAGCTGAGGGTGACGTAGAACATGACAACGGCCCCTTCGTTGCACTGCAGGATGATCTCTCCAGGCTGGGAGTGGAGGTCAGAGTCAGGGAAGGGGGGAGAAACTCCCAGCCAGATGGAGCAGATGACAAGTTGGACTGCAGAAGAAGAAAGGATGATGGAGTTGGCCAAGCTCTTCCCCAACCATCTCTTCACTCGGTTTCCTGGTTTTGTGGCCAGGAAAGCCAGCACCACCGTGATGGTTTTGGCCAAAAGAGAAGAAACGGCAACTGAGAAGATGATGCTGAAAACCGTTTGTCGGAGAAGGCAGGTGGCTTTCCTTGGTTGACCAATGAAGAGAAAAGGAGACAAGAAGCAAAGCAAGAGGGAGACCAGAAGAATGTAGGAGAGGTCCCGGTTGTTGGCTTTGACAAGGGGAGTTTCTCGATACTTAATGAAGATGATTAAAACAAGGCCTGTAGTTAGGAATAAGAGCAGGGCAAAAGAGTCCAGGATGATGCCCAGATGTTCTTTATGAGGCAAGAAGGTTATAACTTTAGGGATACATTGGATTCTGTCTTTATTTGGATATTTATCATCTGGACACTTGATGCATTTTTCCGTATCTGAGAAAAGCAAAAAGCAATATTTGTTTAACATTCTGTCCTTTCAAATGTCAAGAATTATATTTTTGGGAAAACAAATAATACCAGGAATGTTTTCCAAGATGAATTGCTTAACAACTCCTCAGAAAAAAGATAAGAAGAATACAATTTTTAAATATATATATAGGTCTTTGATATTAGGGAACTTAGAACTTGATAGATTTCCTATATAATGTGCTGAACCTTCATAGAAACCTACATTATTAGAGGTAAATAATAAATCAGTTAATCTTTCTACATAAACCTCCTGGGCTCTACCAAGTGGCCCTTCTGAAGATACTGGATAATGCCTATCTTGTGAAATCTAGTTGGCTGGCAGGGAATGGTAGTCCTGCAAATAATCTGGAAAAGCTATTCAGAGAATTGGTAATATACATGTAATGAGGTGCACTCATAAATATCTACACCATCTCACTGTTCTTAGAACAGTAAACGTGGCAGGAAGCATCAAAACAAAAACGAAGAGGTATTTCCTCTGGTAGCAGTAAACTTGCCCAATCAGCCATACCTCCTGTCTCTTCCCAGACCTTCTTTTGAGATCTTTTTGCTATTCTTCCCTTTAGAATAGAAATTGTGCAGGTTGAAAATAAACAAGAAAACAATTGAGTTTCAATCTATCTTGCATTTTCACCAAAATTCTATGGCTAAATCCGTTTGGGCAAAACCTGTCCTTTCCTTTGGTGTCACCCACCTTCCTGAGTGGAGAAGGTTCCCTCCGGGCAAGGAATGCAGTCGTAGCAGCAAACTGGCTCTCCTTTTCGAGCCCTCTTGACAAATCCAGGTTGACAATTTTCCACACATTTGGACTGAGGCAGGGACTAAGGAAAAAAAATGGCAAAGAAAATGTGTTAGGATTCATCATTCATGGAAAAATAGAGATAGAAATAAACATTAGACAAGTAGTTTCTGGTCTTCATTAAAGTAAAGATGAAATCTCTAACTAGTCTGAAAGGGTTACAAGGGATACAACTACAAACACTTTTCTACTTAATAAAGTCTGGTGGAATGGAATTGGGAGAAGATTTAAGGGTTAAGAGACAACCAGTGAGTTCCTTCTCATGGCCATATTAATATTCATTCCTCCATGCTTCATACAGCCATGATATTTTCAGAATGATAAACTATTCGTGTTAAATTTTAGAATATTTATTTTATTATATTTATTAAAATAGTTTAAAACTGTGAGGAAGAAAAAAACCTTTGACTAGTAGGATATACAAACTTTTCTTCCTGAACTGCATAAAAGTTGCAAACCTTTTTGAAAGCAGTCCCAAACAGTCTCTGATTTAAGATAAAAAGACATGATTCCTTACAAATTAGGGCTGTCAGCTCTAAAGGAGATATTCTTTGTTTATTTGTATATTTCTTCTTCTTCAATTCATATTGCGGTCATGCCGTTGAAATGAGGCTAAAACTGACTGCCTTGTTTCTTGAACTAGAGTGAGGCAAGATGGAGATCATGAGAATATGTCCCTCAAGCAGGGTTAGTCAGGTAACGTTTACAGCAGGTAGAAGGTGACACACCAACTGGCATGGAAAGACAGTCCCACTTTCATTAGTAGTTAAATTTGGAACCTCCTTTTTGACCATAGAGACCTTTGGTAGATAATAATCAAGGTACAGATTTAGTATGTTCTGTGCACTCAACTTCCTGAATGTCTCGTGCAAAAACTAAGGTGGTTGCTTTTGAGAAGAGGCAGACTAGATTTAATTGGAGCTTGGACAAGGAATGTATAGATGAAGTGAAGTCCTATCTATACTTTCAGGCTTGTTTGTAGAGAAATAGGTTCCTGGCTCCCATATTTGAAGAAGAGTTCTTTAAGGGCTACAGTCTGAGCCAATAGCAACAATAGCACTTAGACTTATATACCACTTCCCAGGGCTTTACAGCCTCTCTAAGCAATTTATAGAGTCAGCCTCTTGCCCCCAACAATCTGGGTCCTCATTTTACCCATCTTGGAAGGATAGAAGGCTGAGTCAACCTTAAGCCTGGTGAGATTCAATCTGCCAAACTGCTGGCAGCCAGTGATCAGCAGAAGTAGTTTGCGGTACTGCACTCTAACCACTGTGCTACCGCGGCTCATAGGGCAACTCCCCAACCATAGCTATCTGGTATTATCATTGTATCTATGACAAAAGTACATAACAGCAAAATAATCTCAATGATTTGGGGCAAGGAACAAGCCAGTTTAAGACTATCACCACCACAATGTCACCCACTTGACAGCTTCTCTCACCAGTTTTATGGAGATACGAGATGGCAGAGGGGACAGTACATGGTCTGATCTATTTCCCCAGAAACATCACTTTGCATCCCATTTTTATTTGGACAGTGAGATGGACAGCTGATAAGTTAAGCAAACAAACAACCTAATCAATCAATCAATCAATCAATAAAAATGTTGGACACTATTGAATCAGCTAAAAACTGTGTTCCATGTTATAGTACCTTTAGGACGCTTTGGTCAATATCACCGAAGCCTCCCAAGCAATCGAAGAAACTAGAAAGGTTCTAGTCCCCACATTCAATCCTCATGGAAAGTTATCCAGCTTGGTGAGTAGGCTTAGCCCATTTGAGAGGGATCTAAGGCTTTGGAAGTCATTAGAAAAAGTCCAAAATATTCCTCACCTTGTTGAGCAACTTTAGCTGAGAAAGTGCGTCTTGGTTGATATTAACTCTCCCTCTTTCTAAACTCCCCAGTTGATGTTTGATGGGATCACCCCGGGGGAGAACCAGCAAGCTCATGATATTCAGCTCTAGTGCTACTTCTCCATTTTCATCCAAGTATAGTTTAAACTGTGAAATATTGAAAAAATCATTCTTCTCCATAAAACGATTGAACTAGAAGAGAAACATACAGGAATTTTAAAAATAGAAAATTGGGTTTCTTATCCCACGTGGGGATTTCAACCTTTCTTGTAGTGTTGTCTAACTTATTTATTTATTTATTTATTTATTTATTTATTTATTTATTTATTTATTTATTTATTTATTTATTTTATTGAATTTATATCCCGCTCTTCTCCCCGAAGGGACTCAGGGTGGTGAACAGCCGAAAATTAAAATAACATACAATATAAAAGTTAAGATAACTAAAAATAAATTAAATTAATCGGCCTCCCAATTTAAAACCCCAAGCTATACAATTAAAAACTAACCCATAAAACCTATTCAGACCAGGCCGGCTTGCTGAAATAAAAACGTCTTCAGGGCCTTATGGAAAGTGCGGAGATCCGGAATCAGCCGTATTCCGGGAGGTAGCTCGTTCCAGAGGGCGGGTGCCCCCACAGAGAAGGCTCTCCCTCTGGGGGCCGCCAGCCGACATTGCTTGACCGACGGCACCCTGAGGAGGCCCTCTCTGTGAGAGCGTATTGGACGGTGGGAGGTTATCGGTAGCAGAAGGCGGTCTCGTAAATACCCTGGCCCTAAGCCATGGAGTGCTTTAAAGGTGAGAACCAACACCTTGAAGCGCACCCGGAAGACCACCGGGAGCCAGTGCAGCTCGCGCAGGAGAGGTGTTATATGGGAGCGCCATGTCGCTCCCGTAATCATCCGCGTGGCCGCATTCTGGACCAGTTGGAGCCTCCGGGTGCTCCTCAAGGGGAGCCCCATGTAGAGAGCCCCATGTAACTTGCAAATCTTGTGAGTTAGGAGAACAAGAGTTACCACTATCTTCAACAATTAAAAAGGTTCCGAAAAAATTGTCAATCATATATTAAAAAATACGCATTGAGAAAATATAATCTCCAAATTTCTCTATTAAAGGGAACATTTTAGAAGAGATCACAAATACATTGAATAAAGAAACAAAGAGATTGGGCATAAACTCCTTGGAGAAAAAATGGGGCGATTACAAGAAAGTGTGGATTGGTCAAGAAGGACATTGCCAGTCTAATCTCCTCCCAGGTGCACCAGAGAGGAAACAGGTCCACATGAGCTAAGTCCACTTTATTGAAAGTCCACATCAGGAGAAGCTTCCCAGTCTGAAAATAGCCTGGGAGGAAGATCCTTTCTGTCAGTTATACAGCTGACAGTTTATCTGATCATTCCCTGGGCAGCATCTCCTCCACCTGTTCCCCAAGGCCATTTATTGATTTTTATTTTTTTTTATTTATTTCTATCCCTTTATTATTTTTACAAATAACTCAAGGCATCCAACCTATCCAACGTATCTTCCTCCTCTCTATTTTCCCCACAACAGCAATGAGCAGCATGTGAGGCAGGTTGGGCTGAGGGAGAGCGAGTGGCCCAAAGTTAGCCAGCTGGCTTTGGTGGCTAAGGCAGGACTTGAACTCATGATCTCCCTTGAACTAAGGAAGAATTTGATCTGGTGCCCTACTATATTTGCAGATATAACTACACTCTCTTAATAGATTGTGGAAATGCTGTTGATATAATTTGGTTTCAGGAAACTATTATCAAACTGCTTCCTGAAAATTAAGTTAATTAATTAAGATAATGAATTTCAATGTCTTCATAAAACTGGGGAGTTATGAATAAATTAGCCCAGTGTCATCTATTTTTCTACATTGTCATTAATACAGGCAGGTTGTCGATAAAATATTATTTTGTGATGCAACATTTATATCAACTCTTAGACATAGCTAGTTTGATGTCATTTTTTGAAATACCCAGTTTCAGAACAAAAATTATTATTTCCTAATAGAGGTGCAGAAGCAAAATCATGCAGAAATATATGTAACTTTTACCAACTAGGACTCAACAAACTATGCTATCTCATAAAAGAATAATGGGGTGGCAGTCATGATGTAGAACTTTCATTAAGATTTCATTTGTATTTTTTCTCATATAACAGAATAACAGAGTTGGAAGGGGCCTTGGGAGGTCATCTAGTCCAATGCCCTGCTTGTGCAGGAGAGTCTATATCATTTCAGACAAACGGCTATCCAATCTCTTCTTAAAAATCTCCAGTGTTGGAGCACCCACATCTTCTGAAGGCAACTTCCGTTCCACTGGTTAATTGTTCTAACTGTCAGGAAATTTCTCCTTAATTCCAGGCTGCTTCTCTCCTTGATCAGTTCCCATCCATTGTTTCTTGTCCTGCCTTATGGTGCTTTGGAAAATAAGTTGGCCCACTTCATCTTTGTGGCAGCCCCTCAAATACTGGAAGACAGCTATCATGTCACCCCCAATCCTTCCCTGCATTAGGCTAGACATACTAGGACAATCTTTTAATTGGAGAAGGGAGGATACAGCCCTCTTCCACACTGAAAGATGTCACACAGAATCTTAAGACTTGTTTACTATTTTTCCAGAGTGTTGTACATGGAATAAGGAAGTCAGTTACAAATTCAGTAAAGCAGAAGAAGTTTGGCCTCCACTTCTTTGTCCGGCACAGTTAACTAGGAACAGGAATTGAGTTCAAAGTTCTAAAAGTTTATTACATGCTACCCAGGGGTGGGTACTACATACCTTTACTACTGGTTCACAACGGGATCGTGCATGCGCCAAGCTTCTGCGCATGTGCAGATTGCTGTGACAACATCCAGGGCAGTGGGCGGGGCCTCCCACTGGTTTTACTACCGATTCTTGTGAACCGGTCCGAACCGGGGGCAACCGACCACTGATCCTGCCTCTCCACAAGCTACACTATTAACTTAATCTACTAATTATCAAGCCAAATTGGCACAAGATAAGGTCAATGGTATTCATAGGGAGGGGGGCCTTGGGTCTCTTTTGGGGTTGTAAGAACTTCATACCAATGATGCATTTAACCCCACATAGAGGCTTTGCTTGATCATCTACTACAGTCATAGAAGAGAATAACAGAGTTGGAAGGGACCCTGGAGGTCTTCTAGTCCAACCCCCTGCCTAAGCAGGAAATCCTACATCACTTCAGACAAATGGTTGTTTAGTCTCTTCTTTAAAACTTCCGGTGTTGGAACATTCGCAATTTCTGGAGGCAAGTTGTTCCACTGGTTAATTGTTCTAACTGTCAGGAAATTTCCCCCTAGTTCTAAGTTGCTTCTCTCCTTGATTAGTTTCCACCCATGGCTTCTTGTCCTACCCTCTGGTGCTTTGGAGAATAGCTTGATCCCCTCTTCTTTGCAGCAGCCTCTCAGATATTGAAAGACTGCTATCCTGTCCTTCTTTTCATTAAACTAGATATACCCAGTTCCTGCAACCATTCTTTATATATTTTAGCCTCCAGGCCCCTAATCATCTTTGTTGCTCTTCTCTGCACTCTTTCTAGAGTCTCTACATCTTTTTTACATCGCGGCGACCAAAACTGAATGCAGTATTCCAAGTGTGGCCTTACCAAGGCATTATAAAGTGGTATTAACACTTCACGTGATCTTAATACAAGCAATCATCAGTCAGAAAAACCTTAAGTGGGATTCTGCAAAGAGAAGGCATTGGACTAGATGGTCTCACGGTCTCCTTCAAACTTATAACTGTAAAATTATAAGGTGGTAATTCCAAACCCCTATCTACAGCAATTTATTAAAAAATGTACCAACAGTTTTAAAATTAGCCATTTTTAATATCAAAGTAAATCCATCATGGTTCCCCATGTAATTAAGATTGGCCAGACTTGTTCACATTTTTTTTGCAGAAGGAGGTTGAGATAGTTCCCTTCATTCTCCTTTGAATTCCTTCTCTAAAGGAACTAGGTGGATGGATCCTTGTCGGGATCCCATACCTGCCATGGCTCCAACTTCTCTTTGCTCTTCCTTTTCCTCCTGGATTGGGAGGAATACGCAGCACTCAAGGCATGGGACAGAGACTTAATGACATTATAAGAAGACTCACTACTTGTGATCAAAGTGGTTCCATATTTCTCTTGTGTCCCCAGAGGGGCTTTCTGGGTGCATCTTCTCCGGCCTTTGACAGAAAAGAGGAGCTTTGAAAAAGAACAGCGAAAATAGTATTGAAACTGAGGTTTCAGACGGAAACTGGCTTCAAAGGCATCGTCCTTAGGCCTTTCTTTCACCTGAAGGGGAAAGCTCCAAATACTATGTATGTATTTCAAAATGTTTTCCTTTTCCATGTCATATAATCCCAAGCCTGTCAGGATCCAGACTTTCCCTTCAATGGGTCCTGGCAAATTTTCCAGTGTTGAGTGGAAAGAATGGAGTCTGTCTTTAATGGAAATATATTCTGTGAAGTGAAGAAAAACGTTGACTTGTCTCCATTTAGAGAGGGCATTCCTGAGGGCTGCTGCGTGACTTGTTGAGAACAGTTGTGATATAACAACACAAATTCTGTTCCTGACAAGCACAGGAGTGAAAGTCCTCAGGAAATACTCTCCATTCTCTGTGTCTGTAGAAAAGACACCAATCAAGATCCATCTGAAATGGAGGAGCAGTCGGATAATTCCTGCATAGTGGAATCCTTCTTTGGGGACCGTCCTATAGAAAAAGGGGAACTGACTTTTATCGCTCAGAGCCTCTGAAGCAGTTTCAATACCGATCTGAAAAAGCAGTGAAAGATGTTATGTTATATTTAGGGTCAGATCAAGTCCTAAATATTTGTTTTTAATAAATCTAATGATTCCCATGAACATATGACAATAATTGTTGATTAGCCATTAGGCAATAGAGAATATAAAACTGACAAAAACATATATACAAATACAATAAAAAACAAATTAAGGTAAAAGAATAAGAAAAAAGGCTGCAAATGATATTTCCATGCCACCCCTAAAATTTAACACCATCAGACTCACACATACAGATTTCAGCTGAATTGTGTTTTTTTTCCAAATAAGGGGCTGTATATATATTATGTTTTACTTCTGATCACATAGAAAATATATTGTATACATATAAGGATCCCAATAAGCTATTTGTCTAATGCGTAGACCAAGATACTGATCCCTCTCTTCCTTACACAACTGACATTGAAATAATAAATAATATGTATGTTATATTTGCTATTTATGGGGCTGCACAAATAAAAGTCTGTTCATTATAAAGGATTTGGTAAAATCTTCCATATATGACTCAAGTAAATACCACTCTAAGGTGTTTTTGTATTTCTGCAACACTTGGCAATTTGGAAAGTCTGTTTGTAGCAGCTCATCCATTTCAGTTTTTCAACTTTACCGAGGATGGCTATATCTTTCTTTGCTTTGATCTCTCAGATTGTTTGGGTAGCGATCATTTGAGCTACTTCCCCAAGAATACAAGAGACAGGGAGATCACAACTCCTAATATAATTTCTCAGATATAATCTTTAACTGAAATTTTGTTTGGTCTAACCAACTAAATTTTGAGGTTGGTTGGTTCTTTCTGAGCTTGGCTGTTTTCTTGCAGAATTTTCATTACCCAAACTAGGTAACATCAACAGTCTATCACTGATGATGCTACCTAGTTTGGGTAATGAAATGCCTGCAAGAAAACAGCCAAGCTCAGAGAGCACCAAGGACCCCCCCCCAGTTCACCCCTGAGCTACAAATATTCTCCTTTATTATAGTACAACTGATTTTTGGCATTCTCTCAGTTCCCATAGCTTTATTTTCAGATCAATAATAATATGCCCTCATTTTATAGAAAAAAATATATAAATTCCCAAATGAGCTCTGAGGGCAGAAGCTGAAGTCCTCTTATTCTTCTCCAAGATACTTCTCAGATGCTGTGATTGGGTTTGTTTTAGTAATGATGTATTTTAACTACCATACTTCAGTTTGATATGAGAGCTTGGTGGTAACCTAGGCAATAGAGACTTTAATGTAGAGGTCTTCAAACTTGGCAGCTTTAAGACTTGTGGACTTCAACTTCTAGAATTCTCCAGCACTTAGTCCCTTTCTCTAAATGAGCTTCATTGTTGAAGAGGGAGCTAACATCCAATTCCAGAGAAAACTACCCTAAGTAAGGGAAGATGTTAATTCACTCTATTTACTCACCGTCAAATAGCTATATATGGCTATGATGTCATTTTCCAAAGATCATGACTTTTGATATTGGTTTATCAATAATCAGGGAATTATTATGACAGCAGGAACCAATTCTTCTCAACAAATACCCAATCTAGCTTGAGACTATAATCATAATATCATATTGTCAGCATAAAAGAGGTGTTTAGTTTCTTAGGCATGTTTGCTTCAGAATTTTTCATTGGTCCTGGTAAGTCATATCTAGACAAAATAACTATGGTTCATGTATGCACTCCTGTTTTACCACTTCACAAGTGTGCAGGAAAAGCCCCCAAAGCCAGGGGGATGGTGTCATGATAGGACATGTCTGTTTTGATCCTTCCTCTGCCCCACTGTGGATCCCAATTGCCAGCAATGACACCTACAGCAGCCATGGAGAAAAGCAGCTCTTGAATTCAATGGAGAAGATATGGCTGGATCTATTGCTCACCCTTACAATTCAACTCGGCCTACCAGACATAAACACACATACACACAAACCTGTGGGATTTTGTAGATGTTGGCTAATGTTGATATCTGGTTGGAGATGTCCCTGTCAGCTGCATTAATCAGGGCCAAAATATTGTCCTTCTTTCCACAGCTATAGTTGGGAACATTGGCTTCTCCAGTAGAGAATATGTCCATCAAGGCGTCTGAAGTGCCAAGCATGTTGAAATAGTTGTCGTGGATGTTGTAGACCAATGTGAGATTGTGCAAGAGCTGGGGATTCTTGCTGACAAGTTGAATGGCAAAAATATAGGATACTATATATAAATGGGAGCTTCTGCTGTAAAAAAAAAAGTGTTAATGTTATTATCAGCATCACGAACAGAGTGAACAAAACAGTTTTTTTCAATTTAATCCTCTATCAATTTTCCTAAAGCCAATACTGATACAAAAACCAGAGGCAAACAATAGTCATCAATCATAATTTAATATTTGTCAGTGTGGAGAAGATGGATGGATATAATCCTCCGCTATGGTTATGCATCACAAGTACACCATCATTCATAAAAATATTAATTTTTATCTACTCGCTTAGCAGGATTCGAAATAATTCAATCATTAATGTAGAACCATCATAAAAAGAAGAGGATTTTTGATAAGTAAAAAAAATGCAGTTTAAAAAATGTCATTTGTTTATACAAGGATTAGGAATTGTATATTAATGAGCAGTTATAAAAATATGAAACTGGGCTATGCATGGACAATACAATCTTTTCAATCACTACCTTAAACAAAAGTTAATATTCAAGTGATGAATTCAAATTTGGATGGAGAAAGGAAAATAATTTGGAGTTATTACAGTTTTTATTTTGCCTCATCTTTGGATTTCAGTTACTTCCACAAAATAAGACCAAGGACAGAAGCCACGGAAATTAAAGTGATTTAGGAAATTAGAGACATCCTGCAATACAGAATAAATAAATAAATAAATAAATAAATAATAAATAATAAATAAATAAAATAAGAGGGGGAAAAAGGAGAACAAACAAAGGGAATTGCAACCCCATCACACTGAATGACTTACAAGTGGAACTGACTAAAAGGAACTGTGTTGAAAGACAATGTTGAAGGCAATATTGTTGCTGCAGAGATGATTATACCAATCAGATGGTCTCCTGGCCTGTAAAAGCTCCATGGTTTTTTCTCTTTTGGGTGCTCCGAACTTGGTGGGCACTTCATTCTAAGCTTCCCAGAAATTGGCAGGGACACCAGCAGCATCAGAAGTAGAAGCAGGAGGACCATATTTCATAGGGGGAAATCAATCCTGTTTCTAAATATGAACAAGATTTAGAAGATTTCAAAGCACTCCCAAAAGAAGGAAATGCCAGCGGCTTTCCTGATTCAGACAGAGACCAACTGAGCTGCACCTGAAAAGGA